TATATCTTGGAATTCTTTTTCCCCCTCCCCGGGTTGGTTCAGACAAGGGCAAACATCCAGGAAAACAATTCAGTTAACTAACATTTATTGAACATCTTCATTTTGGCAGGGATTATGAGATGGCCCTCTTTGCCTTTTATCCTTTTAGGCTTATCATTTTTCTCCACTGCATATTGAGCGGCTGGAATAATTTTATGGTTCTCGTTTCGCTTTAAGAATCTAAGACTCTCTAAATCCTCTTAATCTCCATTTCATTTTCTCCCAACCAGGCCTGAAAGTGGCATATGGAATCGTGGTAGAAAGGGTGTGTGTGTGTGTTGTGGTTCACATCCACCTTTGATGGTGATTAGAATGAAGGTTATGGTTTCCTTTCTTGCCTACTTCATGTTCTCCTGTTTGTATGAAAACCTGATCACATAGGCATATGTATTTGATGACTTGTAGATAGACCCATTACAGTGATATTAACACTTCTAGCTTAAGGGCCACCTGTTCTTTCACAATTCTTTCTCACAATGCTGAGCTTAAGGAAGCTTGAAGAATGCTTATTCAATGTTCAATTGATTTGCAAAATTTTATTCTATAGCCCAGTTTGCTTTAGCCACTGCCAACCACTGACATCCTTTCAAATCCTGATCTTTCCTTATTTAGATAGTTTGCAGTGGGGGTAGGGGAGGGGTGGGGGCAATCTCTACATACTACGTTGAATGCATTTCCTTTTCACATATTTAAGCTAATACCCTTTAGTGTTATGCAGAATAAAGATATTACCTAGCTTCCATTCAGAAGAACTGTTTGGTTTGAAAAAGAAAAGACTGGTTCCAGTAGAATCATTCAATGGAAATAAGAAAGTTTTGGCAAAAAAAAAAAAAAAAGTAATGAAGTCAATTGAAGATTCTCTAGGGCTCACACATTGTTTTATTCTGTTTAGACCAGTGGTTCTCAACCTTCCTAATGCTGCGACCCTTTAATACAGTTCCTCATGTTGTAGTGACCCCAAACCATAAAATTATTTTCGTTTCTACTTCATAACTGTAATTTTGCTACTGTTATGAATTGTTATGTAAATATCTGATATGCAGGATGTATTTTCATTGTTGCATAGTGATTAATCACAAAACAATATGTAATTATATATTGTGAAATATTTGTTTTTAATGACAAATAAATGAAATTTTGTCATGAACCATGGTGTAGCATGGGTAACTGTCTTCACGTCTGGTACTCGTTTGTGGGCATATCTGCATGTGGGCACACCCGCGTGGAGACTATAGTTTATTCCCAGGCTAGATTTAGGTTAAATATTACATATCTGGTCCAGATATATGGAGCAGAGACCCAGGAAGTAGAAAATATCTTTTAAAAGGGAATGTGTACCGTAGTTAAGAGGAAATCAGTTCTACTTCTAACGGGCTGATAAAGGTCGCGTGTCCTGTAAGGACCCATGTGAGGCTATTGGAAAATGAGTGCATACTCTCAGACATCGGTATTTTCTCTATCCCAGGAACAAATTACAGGCCTTCTTTAGATACATAACCGTATAATTCTTCCATGGAAACAAGTGAGTAATGCTTCTTGGCCTGAGCATCACATAATCTGAAAATTACCTGTAGATACTTTTCAGTGGTACAAGGCAATTCAGTTCAGGTGCAATATATCCATTTCTAAGCCTACCCAAGAAAGCTTTAAACCTCTTTGTCACATCAAGAATCCAGGTTTGAATTACACTAATGCTTTGAGTAGTTCTGACGGCACAGTGGTGAAGCAATTGGCTACTAACCAAAAAGTTGGTGTTAGACACTCACCAGCAGCAGCTGGGGGTGGGGGCTGGTGAGAAGAGCTAGTGGTCTGCTCCCATAAAGAACTCAGCTCAGGAAAACCTACTCTATCAAATATTACTGCTAAGAGTTGGCCTTGATGCAATGGCACACAACACACACACTCTCAAGCTTTCCCGAGTTTTTATCATGAGTCCTCCCTGCCAGCATCTTTTCTATTCATCCTCAGCCAACACCTGTCATCCTGGCCTAGCCACATACCCTTTCACCTCCCCACACCCCTTGACTTGGCTCTTCCAGTCCTTTGGCTGCCCTCTCCTTTCTTCCCTCCCTCACAGACTTGTCTGACTGGTTCCTAGAAGCCTGGCAGATTTTCCTCTCATATAAATCTGGCTCCACAAATTAAAGATCGGAGTACTAACACTCCTCTAAGTAAAACCAGTCAGATCTAAATCATCAACAGAGAGAACTTTCTACTTTTTCTCAAAGAACCAATGATGCTTTTAAAGGAGCGAATGGAGACTGGGTTTAAAGGCGAGAATGGAGGGGCTACGCTTATGGAAGGAACATGAAGTAAGGGCAGAGGTTAAGGAAAGCCATGCAATAAAAAGTGACTGGAGTAGGAAGCAGCACCGACCCTAGTTACCACCCCACAGAGCATCCCCTCCTCCTCCTGCAAAGGTTAATGAGAGCATGCCTTCGTTTTGTGCCCAGCTGTAACCCAAGCTCCCATGTTTGGCACATAGTAGGTTCTCTATAAATAACTGCTGAATGTGGAGTGACTGGCAGAATGATTAAATGCTGCTAAGGTGATATCTAAAATGACAAGCGCAACTTCATCAAAGGCTTAGTGTTCTCACACACAGCCCCATTGTTCTCTTTAAATCCCTGTCTCTTCCCTTGCTTCTTGGTCGTCCTGTCTTTTACATACACATTTAAATTCAATTTCACACAAACATCCCTGGCCCTAGGGATGTACAAATGCGATTCAAACCAAGTTATATCTTAGGTTGGCAGCTCTAAAATGAAAAACCAGGTCTGATGGGTTCACTGTTGCGTGCAGCATCCTTTCCCGCCTTCTTGGAGTTGAGGTGAGCGGAGAGAAGAATAAATGAAACAATCCCTCTCTTTCCCCCCCGCTCTTTGTTAGTCCTTCTCTGAGATCTTCCCTCGTCTCTCCTTTCCTCCAGCCCCCTTCTCCGTCGGCTGCTTCTTCGGGGTCGTCCTTGCGCTTTTTCCCCACCCTCGCTTTCTTTCTCCCTTCTCCGCCTGTTGGTCCTTTTGATCTTTTCTTTCTAGTCCTCATTCCCAGAAGCTCCAGAAAATCCCTTTCCCCTCTTTTCACGTCACTTCCCTCCCGTCTGCCGTCTCCCTCTCCTCTGAAGGTGGAGTAGTCCCCTACTAGAGGCCAGCACGACCTCGGCGGCGTCTCTCACACCGACTACCGGACGCGGAGAGAAAGAAGGGGAAAACGAGGAGAAAGACTGAGCGAGGAAGGCGGGGCAAAAAAAACACCCCAAAAAACCCAGCCAACCAACGAGCAAACCCCGGGGCCTAGAGCGCAGAGGCCCGGGAGCGGCGTCGCCATGGCAACGAGCTCCGGCAGGAAACGAGGGACGCGCGGG